TTCCCTGGGGGCCGCCTGTCGCTCAGAGGCATCTCGTGGCACATCTGTACAGCAAGATTGACACCCAGTGGTCACGAGTGCCTGCTCCTGATATAGCACCTAGGAAACAAAGCAGGGGATCTCTGCAAGCATAAGCAAGGATGATCTGCTTTGCTTTATGATCAAGGGTCACAAGAAGAAGTCACATGTAACCAATTCCTGTTCATGGTTCTTCCTTAACCCAGAAATGATGTCATGAGACAAAGCCCATGAGAGAACAACAGTTCCCACTCCATTTCCTGACAGCCCAGGGATCTCTCTACTCAAGTCCCTATGCTACACCTCAAGTCCTTTTCATCCAAAAGTCAAACATACACAGAAACGATATGGGAAGAGGGGAACAACTGCATGGCTTCAGCTGAAGTTCTGTAGGTGGGCGCTGACAATGGCTCACTGGATCCTCCATTGTGTGGTGCTGAGCTATCCTGCCAGGGCACTCTGTGGTGTGCATCTCTGTGTGTACACATGAACAGGCATGACTCTGTGTGTGTGTGTGTGTGTAAAGCTGGCTCTAGCATGGATCACTGGATACATGTAGGACTTCATACACCAGGGCTGAGAGACTGGGCCCTTCCCCAATGGACAGTCAAATAGGTTGTGACTATGTGCAAAGCATTTCTGAACTATATCTCATGAAACACATTGCACCCAGGGCAGGTATGCAGGTGCCCTGCACTTTGCAGCCATGGTAAGATGACCCATCTGGTGCAAGGAAGGTCCATTTTTTAGCTCCCCTGGAGGAAAAATAAGGAGACGTGTCTTGTGCCAGGGCCTGAGATCAGCACCCGAGCAGTGTCTAGCAAGGCCCAGGCTCCCAATGCGGGAAGAGAGTCATTGCAGTTCCCCACTAGACTATGTCACTGTGAGGACAGGCAGTGCACCACACAGCACAGTAATACTCTGCCTCATGTTCGTACTTGAGCCCCCCTGCTAAATACCCTGGCTGCATTGGGAGCCAGAGAATCAGCCGGGAATCTCCAAGAGACTTTTGCTGTGACCAGGCGTAAGCACCGCTGGAGTGTGGCCAGGCTGCTGCTGCAACCAGGCGTCCCAGGTGTCACTTGCCCTTGCTACAGGAGTTCAGAACGGTTCATCCCTCAGAGTCTGATACCAAGAGTGTCTAGGTCAGCACAAGCTGAGCACTGGAACCTGGAAAATCAGCAGCAGCAAAACAAGGACTGAGTTTGGGAGAAATGTAAGGAAATCTTCTGAGGGGCAGGTAGGAAACCTTCCCCAGTACCAGGGAAGTAAGTGTGGACAGCAAGAAAAAGAGTAGCGGAGGCCACGGTAGGGAATCCAGACTACCTGAGCTTCCTCAGGTCTCTGGCTAGCACCCTACCAGTCTCTCCCAAACCCCCAGAGCTGTAAACATCTACTTTATATAAATGGGGCCCCTGCTTCCTGGCTGCTGTCAGCCTCCTGCTCTGGTTCATTTGCACCTGAGAACAGCAGAAAGGAACAGAGAACTCGTCTCTGGAGCACTTTTCTACCCTTAAAACTCTTCCCACTTGAACTACTCCAGCAGGGTTAAAACCTCACACTTCCCTCCCAAGCTTGTGCATGGTTATGCCACATGCTAGTGCTCTTACTGGATGTACAGCTATTCTTGGGGACCCAGGTCAGGGTACCTGTGCACCAGGATAGCTGCATGGGCCCTACGGAGCTGACTCATGCAAGCATGTCAGTGGCATACCTTTTCCTAAGGCTAAACTGCACTTTATCATGCATTAACAGATGCGTGATGAACAGGTCCAGGGAGGTGATCCTCCCCCTCTATGCAGCACTGGTCAGGCCGCAGTTGGAGTACTGCGTCCAGTTCTGGGCGCCGCACTTCAAGAGGGATGCGGAGAATCCTGAGAGGGTTCAGAGAAGACCACTCGTACAGTCAGAGGCCTGCAGGCAAGGCCCTACGAGGAGAGGAGAGACTGAGGGACCTAGATGTCTTCAGCCTTCGCAAGAGAAGGCTGAGGTGATTTTGTGGCTGCCTATAAATTCGTCAGGAGAGGGCAGCAGGGAATAGGAGATGCTCTATTTACTAGGGCACCCCCTGGAGTAACTAGGAACAATGGCCACAAATTGACAGAGAGCAGATTTAGGTTGGACATCAGAAAGAACTTCTTCACAGTAAGGGTTGCCAGAATCTGAAATGGGCTCCCAAGGGAGGTGGTGCTCTCCCCTACCCTGGGGGTCTTCAAGAGGAGACTGGACAAGCACCTAGCTGGGGTCGTCTGACCCCACTGCTCTTTCCTGCCCAGGGCAGGGGGTCGGACTCAATGACCTACTGAGGTCCCTTCTGACCCTAACGTCTATGAATCTATGAATTCCCAGCCAGGAAGGCTGAGCCAGCAATTTTAGAAACGATGGACCATCACTTGGTAACCCAGCAGCAGGGAGTGTGTAACATTGGCTACTCTTACAGTAACTACAATCAGTAGAAGAAGCCTGCAAACCCAGGCCATGGTCCTTTTCCAAAGCCTGAAGGCCAAACCCAGACTTTGTTTGCTCCCCCGGCTATGTAGGAATTAAACTTTATCATTTAAACTTTACACTCCTATGGACTGGCACTGCACCGTCACTGGTTTCTCTGACCTGTTGCATCCCAAGAATGACACTTTCCATAAAGGCAGAGAGATGAGGTGTTCTCACAATGTAGAAATGTAAGATTAGATGAAAAGGCAACAATATCTTCCTCTGAAAAATCCCAGGTGCTGCAAGTCGCTTCAGAAGGACCCAGTATAGACACAGAGCCCAGCTCGCATTGATCCAATCACAGGCACTTGTCACTGGGCTGTAAACATCAGAGCATGTAAAAATGAATTAAGCTTGTGCTGGCACAAGTGTCAGTTCTGAACTTGGCTCCGTCTGTAAGAGATTTCCATGTCAGGGTTTGCCATTTGCGCAACTATAGAGCAATGTGACTGGAGAAACACTCAGAAAGCATTTAAACCATGGCTCTTCATCTTATGGCAGCAGGGCCTTGCCTGAGCTGACCTGAAGGCTGTGGGCAGGTAACAGAAAACTAGAAGGGTGGTTCCCTCTGCATTAGAAAGCTGAAGAGGGCAAGGAAGCACCATTTTCCTCTGGGCTGGAAAAGCTGCAGTCCTTCATTGCAACATATTTAGCTTTTGGAGTTTTATCAGGTAGAAACCAGACACTGTAGCCTGAGCAGTGATTTCCCAGCAGGGCACAGGTGCAGAAAAAACAGAAGGGAGGTTATGATTCAGTTCCCCACCAGGCTCTATCACTGGGTCCTGCATGCTACTGCCAGTAAACACAGCACAGTAGTAATCGGCTTCATCTTCAGCTTGGACCCTGGTGATGGTCAAGGCAGCCTTCTGACCGGAAATGGATCCCAAGAACCGGGTGGGGATCCCAGAGGGTCTGTGGTTAGTGCTATATATAATTTGCTGTGGGACAGAGCCAAGTTTCTGCTGGTACCAGGAAGGATAGCTGCTGCTGGTGATCAGTGCTCAGACTGCAGGACAGAGTGACAGTCCTGCCTGGGGAAGATGCCAAGGGCTCCTGAGTCACCACAGCCTGCGACCAGACCCCTGAAATCAACATCACAGACCCATTATTAACCAGTCATTTACTTTCCCCCTAGAAAGTAACCTCTTCCAGGAAAGCCACAGCATGAATGCTCCTTGCTCATCTGAGATATATGTGAGCAGTGCAAGAAGAAGCGGGGCCCAGGCCATGGTGGGAATCCAGACCAGCTCAGCTTCTTCAGGCAAACAGGCCTGGCTGGGACCCTCCAAGTCTCTCTTAAATACCCACAGCTGGAGAACAGCTCCTTTATGCAAACAGACTTCCTGTTCGGTGGATGCAGAGCATGCCCTAGAGAAGGTAAATTAAAACAAAAGAGGGGGTGGGTCAAGATAAAATTCCCAGACAAAAGACAAGCCTGACATGGGGCAAAATTGTAGAAGGGGAAAACACACTTATTCCTTAGACTTCTGGCCAAGCACAAGCCTCCCAGACTGACACAGCTACCAGAAGCAGGACTCGGTTGCTAATGGAATGCCATTGGATTCCAGGTATCAAGCAAACACATTGGCGTATCTGCCTCTGGCTGCCCAGCCTCTGCAATTCATAACACCTGGTGTAAGTGCTACTGCTTTGTGTTGTGATACCCCTTTTGTTGTCCCTGTTGGGTTCTGGGTGCCGTGGTATGAAACTGGGCAGGGAGGACTAGCATGGGGTGACCCTGGAAGGTGTGTGACATATAGTGCCAAGATCCAGGTGGGACAGCTGCAGCCTGACCCCTCCTGCACATGCATTCCCATATAGCTGGTCCCTGCAAACCGCCTGGGTACCTGACCCATGTGGAGGAGAGACAAGGAGCTCTCACCACCGCAGCCCCCATGCAAGCAGAACAGTGCTGCTCCACTGCCTCTCTGCAGCTGCTGCTCCTTCCCTGCCCAGACTGGGGAAAGGATCTGTGCAGGCTGCCTGCTCCCTGCCTGCCAGCCCAGCAGCCTGCTGGTGTGCTCAGCCCCTCAGGTCTCCGCACCATGTGGAGTGAGGCAGGGAGAACTGGCTCCTAAAGAAGCAAAACCCCGACACTGAGGAAATGGGTCACAGCCCAGCCCCAGACAGAGATCACGGCGGGAAGGCTGGGGGAGGCACTGGGCAGTGCTGGAGCAGGCTGAATACTGGAGCTGGCCTGGACTGACTAACAAGGAGAACAGCACTGGTCAGCCTTGCAGCCCAGCCCTGCAACACCCAGGCCTGTTTGGGGACTGCAGTAAGGGGCACAGCATGACAGCTCAGGACAGTGATTCTCAAACAGGGAGTCATGGCCCCCATGGGAGCCTGTAGATCCTTTCAGGGGTGCCGTGGCCTGCCACACAGTGCTCGTACTTTTAAGTGAGCACACAAGATTCACAAAATAAATGCAGGGATAAATGAGAATTCACAGCATTACAACCATTAGGGGCACAACATCAGGGCTTGCTTCATGGAGAGTATGAAATACTGTGATTGGCAAACTATGTTGAGAGAGCATTTAAAACATGGAGCTGATCTGCAGGGCTCTGGCTGCGCTGACCTGCAGGGCATGGGCAGGGGAGACAGAGGCTAGGGAAGGTCGGGGGTTTCTAATGAAAATGGAATTGGCAAAACTAAGCTCCATAGCCTGAGCGGGGAGATCCCAGCAGAGCACAGGTGGAGAGGGGGAAAGGGAGGTTTATGCCTCAGTTCCCCATTCGACTCTACCACTGTGCACCACGCACTGCTGCCAGCATGTACAGCACAGTAGTAGTCAGCCTCATCCTCGGCTTGGACCCCCGCGATGGTCAAGGCGGCCTTCTGGCCAGATATGGACCCCGAGAACCGGGTGGGGATCCCAGAGGGTTTCTTACTAATTTCATAAATAAGCAGCCGAGGGGCAGAGCCAGGTTTCTGCTGGAGCCAGCCAGGGTAGTTGCTGGAGGTGATGGCTCCGGTGCTCAGGCTGCAGGACAGAGTGACAGTCCCTCCTGGGGACACGGACACCGCAGGCTCCTGAGTCACCACAGGCTGTGACCAGACCCCTGAAATCAACATCACAAACCCATTATTAACCATTCATTGACCGCGCTGACAGGAAAGCAACTGCCCCCATGACAGTCACAACCTGAACCCTTCTGCCCACCTGAGCAGCATGAGATCAGCACCAGGAGGAGCAGGGCACAGGCCATGGTGACAATCCTGACCAGTCCTCGCGGGCTGCTGCTGGTGCATCGCCCTGTCGGGACGTGTGTTTCTTCCTTCTGCTTCCACCGCTCCGAGAGCCGGCAGAGCAGAGCCCAGTGCACAGCGCTGGCAGGGGAGGTGCTTTACTGTAAAGTCATATTCATATCCATCGTTAAACATCCCGTTCTTCCTGCTTGATTGTCATGAGGAAAGAGGTGGGAGGTATGATTACCCTGTGCATGTCCCACTCCCCCTGTTAAATCTTTCCTAAGGAAGATGTTCTGAATTGTAATTTCTCCACCTCCATGATTAACTCCGGCCTCTGCTCTGCCCTGCCTAAAGCACACTGCTTCACAGGTCAGGCACCAAGATTATATTTGTTTCCTAACTCCTTTTTTTAAATGAAATCTTCATATTTTCCCAAGCAGGAAACAACTATGACCACCTGAAACTTGAGATCTGGCTCCTGCCTTTGTTTCAAGGCAATTTGCATCATTGCAGGTCCTCAGAGGAGGTGAGAGGCTCCATACCAGCTATGAACTGACTTCTCAGAGGAGTTTTCCATCTATTGACTCCTCTGTGAAACGGTATGAAATGTGAACTTTTTTTTCTACCCAGGAGAACTTTTACAATCTTTCTCCAATGACTGATGAAGGGTGTTTGTGCCTGAAAGCTTGCAATTCAAGACATTTTTTTGCAAAAATCTTGTTGGTCTAATAAAAGGGATCATCTGTACTATGAGTCGTGATTGCCTTTTTCCTCTAGGCCAATACAGCTACACCCTGCATACCTGTCCGAACTCCTGGCGCTGGAGCATGGCCTACATTGTGCTTTGTAGACCTTCTGAGAGATGCTTCTCTTCCATGATCCAGGTGACACTAGCAGGGTTTGGGATCTCATGCTCAGGACACCTCTTCTTAGCACTGCCCTCAATGTCCCATTTCATGCAGATAAAGGTCTGAAAATGCTGGGTGCTGAAATGTGCCGTGCAGGAAAATTGCCCTAGCCTGGAAGAGTACCGGAGAGGAGGAAGGCCAGGGCAAGGGACTCTTTTGGACATATACAGTTTTTTACACACTTGTTTTGTGAAAAATATGCAATCATTGATGCAGTTCATCTGGCAGAGATCTGTTTGTATTGCACTAATCTCCAGAAGGCTCTACATGGAGCCAGGGCCTCTCAACACCAGGCAAACTCAGTGAGATGCTCCCAGCTCTGAAAAGGTTACCTTCCAAGCTGGCAAAACAGAGGAAGGGAAGAAGGAGTCTTGCTGAGATCCCCAATGGGGGGTTGTTTCCCCCGCCCTATGATCTCTCCTCCTTAAGGTATTGGGACAACTGTGATATGGATAGTGACAGTCCCGTGGGTAAGGGATGTCACAAAACAGTACTGATCCCATCTGCTCTGCCAGAGCCAGTAGCACCAGTGGTAACATCGTATACCACTACCATCACCCCAGAGGGGCAGAAACGTCCCACTATCCTGCAAATGGAAGTAAAACCCTATTCACCAAAGCAGTTCCAGGCAATGGGGAAATCTCTGCGTCCAGTCAAGAGGAAAACTACATTTGGGTGCCTGGCTGCAGGAGCATCCCTGCCTACCAACTGGAGTGAAGGCCTGATTGCTTTGCTCAGGGAATGCATGACCAAGGATGATTTTGGGACCCTTCCTAGTGATGTCAAGTGTGGGGAATGGAGAAATATGGCTGATCTGTACAGAGATGTGTTGAGGGTGTACTTCCCAGGTGAAAGCTTGCTAGCTAGGTTCCATAACAAGATGCAGAAAGAAGACAGACCTGAGGTATGTATGGAGAGGAAGAAGATCCTGTATGTGGAAGCTGGAAAAGCAGAACAGCCACCATATAATTATGATGTGCCTGCTTTCAAGGAACTATTATCGAGGGGTATTGTGCCAGAGTTGCAGCTGGCTGCACAAGGATTTCATGCCCAGCTTCCATTGGACCAAACAGAACACCAGTTAGCAGATGCTTGTAATCTCGTGTCCCAGATTTTTGGGAAGTCAAGGCAGGAAGGAAAGGTTGCAGCTATAGCAGGTGGTTATGGTAGAGGTCAGAAAGGAAAATCTCCAGGGAGGTGACTAAATGATCCCAAGAGGTTGGAAGTGTGGAAGCAGTTGTTGAAATATGAGAATAGGGATGACATTGATGGAAAGCTGACTCCTGAGTTACTGCTCACAGGGACAAGGAGAAGAAGAGAGAGGGGAAGGGGAAGTGACAAGCCCCTGTCATGGGGATTCCCAATAGGGGTGCCCCATAGCCCCAGTCTCATGCCCTCCCTGAAATTGTGGCATCTATTAGACTAGATCAGTGGGAATGGCCAGTGGTTACAATCTGGTGGGAAAACGACAACAGGGCTACAGGGACTCAGCCAGTGCTGGTGATACAGGTGCCTCAGTGTCATTTTTGAGTTTGGAATTTGAAACATCAAAGCCAAATGCTGAATGCAGGATGTTGGAAGGCTTTAATGGGAAGAAGAGTATAATGTCCCCCCTCCCCCCGAATGGGTCAAATTGAATTTGGAATTGAGGAGAGTCCCTTGTGTGGAAAAGAGAGATTTGCTCTAGCAGAATTGATTGGAGCAGGGACCCTAGGTGTTGCTACAAAACAGAAGTTGCCTGTGAGAATAAACTTAGTTAACTAGGAGCTTAGGCAAGTGGAAAGCCCTGACTCTGGTGCAGGAGTAGTGATTGAAGCGGCACATCAGTGTGCTGCCCTGAAGGCATTTGAGCCTCTGGAAGTGCCAGAGGACTGGAGTCCTGCTGTACAGGATCTGGCGCAGCAGGCCCAATCAGCCTGGGCATAGTGTAAGAGTGAGTGTGGTAAGATTCAGGCATTGGAAAAGGTAAAAGGAGGGGGATCCAGCCTCTCAGCAGCAGCAGAAGTTCCCAGAGGAAGCAGTCAGTGGTATCAGGAAAGTCGTTGATGATCTGGAGGAGCAAGGAGTGTTGGTTGAAAAGCCAAGCAGTAATAAAAGTCCCATCTGGCCAGTGCGTAAAAGTGATGGGAAAACCTGACAGTGGATTTTTGGGCTCTCCATAAAGTAATACCACCCCAAGCACCTGTGGTAGTCAAGTTTCCAGAGATCATAACATCCGTCAGTGAAGGAGCAAAGTGGTTCTCAATACTGGACTTGTCTACTGCATTCTTTGCAATCCCTCTGCACCCTGATCGTTGGTATAAGTTTATTTTTCCCTTCCAAGGTACACAGTACACCTTCACTCAGGTTCCACAGGCATTCAATAATGCCCCTGCCATATGCCATCATCATTTGGTCAGGATGTGGACAAGGCTGACAGCTGAGAACCAGAGGTATGTGTTGTACTATGTAGATGATATTCTGGTGCTTGGTAGGGAGGAGCAGGAGTGCTTGGACTGTACGGAGAGTGCTACAGATTATCCAAGAGATAGGGTTC